TCACTTTTTCTCGGTGTGTGCCGAAGAATCCGGAAGACTGGAATTCGGCCTGTCGAGGTTTGGAGTTCTGTTTGCTTCTGCAAACCTTTGCGATGTGACCGCGTCTCCCGCAATGGTGGCAAAGTGCGTCCAGGAATTTGCAACCGGAACGTGGGTGATTTGCTCCACAGCCGGCACACGGTCGAAATGAGTGTGGTGAGGACTGGTCTCTCTCCGTTCGAAGTCGGTTGACCTCTTCCTCATCGCTGTCGGACGGGGACTCTAGGTCTTCGTGGTGAGTTGATACCGGGTGTCTCTCTGAGCGAGGCGAGATATCAGTAGCGAGTTTACGTTGCGGTGCGTTGGTGCGGCGCATTTGGGCTGCCGATTTCTTTGTCGCCTCTGCTGCCGAGGCTTCTTTAAGGGCATCGGTGAGGCTGATGTCCCCCTTAGCCATAATTTTACTCTGGATCGTGCCGTCTTCTAGGCCCAGAACCAGGCGGTCCCGGAGGGCTTCTTCTAGGTCTGCAAATCCGCAGAGGCCTCCTAGGTTCCGGAGGTCCGCGATGTAATTGGCAAGGCTTTCGCCCTTCTGTTGGTCCCTCTGGTAATATTCGTGTCTTCTTACTAGGGTTGGCACGGAAGGCGCGTAGTGAGCCCTTAGTAGCGGCTCGAGAACATCCCAGTCCATTTCTTTTACCTCTGCTGGCTTGGCAAGTGATTTTGCCATCTTAAACACGGTTGGCCCGCAGTGAGTTAGAAAGATAGCTCTTTTTTTCCCGGTTGTTGCATCTTTCAAATTGTTGGTCTCCAGAAACATCTGGAACCGATCCATGTAGGCCTCCCAGTCTTCGGTTTCTGGGTTGAATGGAGCGGGTGGTACGGCACCGCTGGCCATGTTGCCGTTGATGGTGCGTGATCAACCACGTGCTCTTTAGGTTGCTCTGTAGGTTTAGTCAGCTCTTCGGTCTCCGTATCCCATCCTCGTCTCCAGTATTAAGTTTGGAGAATAAGGAGACCAGACATCTGACCAGTGACTTCAACTCTTTAATAATAACAGGAATCAGAATGAAACAGAGCAATGCTATGGGCAGCAGTAACCCTTTTATAGGGTTAGCTGCTGCCTTATTAACCAATGAAAATGTGCAATCCATTCAAACTACTAACCAATAAGAACAGTCCCAAAAGTGGCCAATCAGGGACTGGTTCTGGCCCAATCCCAAGTTGTTGTACAAGGACCAATCAAGTGTGCAGGTTTTCAACCCCTAATTTGCATTTAGGTTATACACTTTTATTGATTCACAACAC